GATTATTTTCAAAACCTTATGAAATATTTATTATTCATTGAAAAGTTACAACAGTCGTATTCACAAGGCAGCCCCCCCTCCCCCCGGATCTCGCACTACTGGGGTGTTGTTGAACATGGTTAGGCGAGCTGGTGCCTACATCCGCCTCTGTTGACACTGTAGGATGGGTACATAAAACCAAGGTCGCCCATCTCCATGTACTTGCTGTCTGTGCGTGCCTCTGTCTCTGTAATTGTTTTTGTGTCTGAGTCAACTTAATTACTCCTTCTCACACTATCATTTCGGTGCAACTATTTCATGTAGGTATTATTTATAAACAAGACTCTGTACCTTGACATTACACGGTGTTTATAGTTGTTATAAGACCAAAGAACATATTGTCATCGCAAGTAGAGATAAACGACCACCGCCACATGGATATCTACAGTAGTAAACGTTTGATAGGTGTCAGAAATGACCCGAAAATGATAAAACGCTAGAATTACTTGGGCTAGAAACTCACGCAATACGCTTCAGCATTGGACCTGTCATACTAGACTTCTACACACTGACGGTCCACATCACTGCCGGAATTTAATATGAATACTGTACGGTCACGTTGATACTGAGGAAGATAAGATTAGACATGAATTTTGTATGATACTTGAAGATGACAGTAGTGACTGACCTTTACCATGTAGACCGACATCCCAGGAAGTGACATGACCCACACCCTAGGAAGTGACGTCATAGACCTATACCCCGGGAACTGACTCCATAGACCCACACCCCTGAAAGTGACCTCACTGTATAACTAATGCTGGTGTTTTCGGCAACTATCAACAGGCGAGATGAAGAGTCTAACAGTAATGGTAACCTCCTTTGCTCTTTGTTTCGTCGTGGAAGTAGAGAACGTTTGAAGAAGATGCTTCCGGTGTCGCCAGTTGTCCGTAGGCTCCGGATACGTTTCAGTGACTACTACTCGATGTGGTGTCGCCGCCTATAAGCATAATTAAACACTCATAATGTCACCACGGCCCAACCACTTAAAAGATAGCTTATTTAAGACCAATCAGAAGATCAATTACAAACGACTTCTTTTTCCGTATCCAAATAAGATTAAAGTTTTGTAGACGCAACTATTGTGACGTTAAAGCAAGATACGTTGTAACAATAAGGTTGAAAGTAAGACTGTAGCCATTGTGATAGTTGTTTTCGTTTTATTAGTCTAATCAATATCATGAAATCATTTATGGTTTTTCAGGCAACATCGTGTAAACAAGACAGATAACATGCTGCTTCCTGCGTCTGAATGACTGTTGGCAGCTCGAGGGGTGGGTGTTGTGAGGCTGCTTCTCTCCTACTAAACATACAACCCTTCCTTCACCACGTGTTTTCACCCAACTATGACCAGTCCCTCCTTAAAATGTTTCCCGCATCTAAATAAAAATTAAAATAAAATAAAATAAAATCTGAAATCACATCATCAGAGGTTTTCAGTTTCGTCACCTTAAGTCAAAACCTGGACAGAGTTTCTTAACAGTGTCACCTGGGCTGTAAGGGTTGATTTGTTATTTACGAACCTTGCTAAACCCTAACATGTCTGATGAACTATAAAATAAAGCTCGGCGTGAAAGTGTGGACATTAAGATATTTACCTTATTAAGTCTAATTTTGCATCTCTCATTGAAGGCAGTTTAGGTTTGGTTGGGTTAGGTTAAGTTAGATCAGGTGTGGCTAGGTTTGGTTGGGTTAGGTTAAATTAGGTACCAGATCGTAGACTATGGACTCTCAAAGATTTGGTCTGGGTAAGTTTATCTTGTTACGGTAGTCTCATTGTTATATGAATGTGATTTTGGCGTCGTATTTTTATTGTAACTAACGTGTGCAAGTTAGAAATGCCAGCCGGGGAAGAGGAGGATAGGGGAGAGGGTGAGAGGGGACGGGTAAGGGGACGAGAGGTGGACGAAGAGGGAGAGGGCAGGAAAGGGAAGGAGAGGGCAGAAGAGGAAGAGGACAGGAGAGGGGGCAGGGAGAGGAGAGGCAGGGAGAGGGCAGGAGAGGGAGGGACGGGACAGGAGAGGGAGGGACAGGAGAGGGAGAGGACAGGAGAGGAGGGGGCAGAAGAGGGAGAGGGCAGAAGAGGACAGGAAAGGGAGGGGCAGGAGAGGGAGAGGACAGGAGAGGGAGAGGACAGGAGAGGGAGAGGACAGAAGAGGGAGAGGGCAGGAGAGGGCATATCTGACACTCTTGGCCCGGACTTGTGACTGACTGCGAAACAACATTAGTGATGGATTTAAATTATCCACTTCATGTTGAGTATCACTAGCTGACGCCTGACTGGGAGGGGGGGGGACTTTAGGGATCACATGAAGATTAGCCCCTCAACTTAATTCACCTGATGATCAAACACCCTAAGGCTAACCTAACCTAACCTAACCTAACCTGACCTAACCAATCTAACCTAACCTAACCTAAGTAATCTAACCTAACCAATCTAAACTAATTAACTTAATTAATCTAATCTAACTTAACTAATTTAATTTAACTTAATCTAATCTTACCTAACCTCCCCAAGTAACATGAAGGTGTTTAAACATCTGGTGAAATAAGCTGGTAACCTAATCTTCTGGTGATGGTAACTTGAACTAACTAATACTACACTAATTATACAGTACTAGTAATTGTATTTATTATATGCAAGAGAATTATTGTGCATGAATTTTGGCGTCGACAGTCAGACTAACAAACAGACAAACGAACATACACGGAAGAGACAAACAGATAGATAGTAGACATACAGGCAGACAAAATGGACTACTACATACATTCGTGGTAACTCAAGTTTTACCACACACACACACTGTAATCTTTAACGAAAACACTGACATAACCAGACCATACCCACACACCGAGCCACCCACCCCTACACACTTCCTGACATATACCCAAACCCACACTCAGTCTCCCACACATTTGTCAATAAACGTGACCATCTGGAGTGGACAAAAAAAAAAAAAAAAAAAACCACTACATCAGCTGACGACCCGACCCTGCTGGACCAGACACCATGGAGTGAAGGAGACACCTGCCTGGCCTCCCGCCTCCACATCCTCCCATATTTGTTTCGTTAATTCTTTAGTTAAATAGATATTCAATTGCTGTTATGTTGTTTGTTTGTTGTTGTTTTTTATCCAGGAGACCTCATATTGCAAATGTAGAATATGTCAGTGCATTTTGAACGAGTGTTTCTTTAGTTTGGTTTTGCTGTATGGTAGCTTAAGTGAGCGAGTGAGGCAATAAGATGCGTCCTCTCATTTGCAGTTACGGTAGGAAATGTAACTCGGTAAGGATGCTTTGAGAGCTTAGGGGTTGTGATGGACCCAGTGTATTATGCAACAGTTTGGGCTCGTCTGGCTGGTTGGTTGGCACACACACACACACACACACACACACACACACACACACACACACACACTGTATATATCCTGGTTTCTTCTCCCAATCCAGAATGTGTCCTTCCTCATCCATTAGTTACGTCATAATTACCATCCTCCTCTTAACTTCATATACCACCTACCTACCTACGCCCACACCTAAATAAGATTCACCCATGCACTATACAGTATACTTACACCATACTTACACCACACCCGACATATTCTCCTCACATTTCTCCCAACTTCGAGCAGCACTGAACAATTTCGTGTCTGTGTTTACTTTTCACTCGTCTTCAACATTCGTTCCACCTTTTCCATTGCCAACGTTTTTGTTTCAGTATCAGTAGTCCTGTTAGAACTCTCGACCTACATCCCAAGCCAGTTTTAACACCCATACTCTCTACGCTTTCTCCCTGTTGAATTAGTAATACTATTATTCTTTTATACCAATTTTTACGATGAGTGATTCTCCGAGTTTTCACTCTATATACCATGACCTTTATATCAGTCAGAGCCATAATACAAATGTCTTCGTATTTTCAGTATAGTGTTTATATCTCCAAGAGCACAGTATAGAGATTCGTAGAGCCTCTCTCATTCTATACTCTAGAGTCATGCACAAAATTCATTTCCTGGATGCACAGTTACTCAAATGAGACTCTTATGTTCAAAACTTATATCAACAAACACCTAATACACCATAAGGTTCATTAAACGCTATTATTTTACATTATTTACCTAATGGCAACCCACAAGATGTGGCCATGCCGAGGAAGGAGGCCAATGGCGTGTGTAGGATCCCTCCATTGTTCTTAATAATTTTGTTAAGGGCTATTTTGAAGCCAAATACTGTTCTTGATTCCACAGTTTGGGTTGGTAGACCGTTCCATAATGCTTTTTTTTCATATTCAGTAGTAAAACGTTTCAGGTTAGTGTTGAGTGAGCGGTAGTCTTTTTTTTTTGTAAATAAATATATTAGGTCTATTCTTCGCTGTACGTACAGATGATAACCCACTCCACATAGTTACACTTAACCATTTGGCTACATCCGCACCTTGTATGTACACCCCACACCTCTAAACTACACCCATACATTTATCCGGCTTTGCCCTTATGTTGTGGTCACACCTACAACAAAATTAATTCACTCCCACTTTCTCAAGACGCACCTACACCCAGCCCCGCTCTCCACATGCACTGTTCACCACGCGGCCTCCAACGCACGTTCCCAGGACATTGACCTCTTTCCCGGGTATCGCACTGGTTCTCTTTCCCTATCGTGTATAATAAGTATTCAGTTTTTCATGAATATACATTTACAACTATATACAGTGTTGAAATGTACCAGTGTTTGTGTGTGAGCACACATAGTGCTGCACACACACACACACACACACAGTATATATATATATATATATATATATATATATATATATATATATATATATATATATATATATATATATATATATATATATATATATAATCAACCAGTAGATTTTAACATAAAGGTGAAGTTTGCAAAACTACTTCCTGAAAATGGTTGAGAGTCAGGACCTGAGAACATTATAAGACACATACCAGGTTGGAGGATGACGTTGGGATGGTGTATAGCAACTCCCGGAGGCAGATGGTCGAGCTGTTGCACCGGATTAAACTGACGCTCGTAATCACAGTACCAAAACTCTCACCTTCTATGATCTTGTAACGTAGGGCGAATGGTATAGAGACCTGTCATAAGACATCTTTAGGTTTACGACTTATGGCTCACCCGCGCGAAGAGATGAGGCAAATTAGACGAATTGTTTTCGTCAACGGAGTAGGTCATGCGGCCAACAGATAAGAACGAGTCGTTAAGGGACAGGCCAGCCCATCAACAAACAAGGTGAGGTTGAAGTTGTCCACAGACGAAGTGAGTGTGTGTTGTGGACAAGAGCGAGGTGATGATCACAGTGTGAGGCGGCGGCCGGCGGCTGCTGTGGAAGTGTGTGTGTTTGGCCAGCGTCCCCTACCTCGCCCCCGCCTCCTGCAACCCTTCCCCCCACCCTGTCAACGTAGATCCGCCTCCTCCCCCTTTCCTCGACACTACACGAGGGGCCTCCCTCCTGGGCACTTACTCACAAGGAGAAAGGTAGAGGTGCTAACACAGAAGCTGCTCATAAGTTGAGAGATGATGTTTTGGGGGGAGTTATATTTTTAGATTATCACGTGTATATGAGTCGGGTTGAAACATTCACTCGTTACAGTCTGGGTGTATTAGACCTTGGGTGTATCCTGTATGCGTGTTGGTGTCGTTAAATATAAACTTTTGAGTAAAGCTAATTTTGAAGAACTTGAAGCACTTTGTGAAATACACTACAGTATAGAGAGAGAGAGAGAGAGAGTTAATGCCAGTCGTTGTAATTTCGGGACCCATGTTTACCTGCCTAATTTACATAACGGCCACAACTAGAGGTGATCATAACGGTGAAAGGGGGCCTGTGACCGGTGCAGGACCCTCTTGTTGTTCTTGACTGAAATTTCCAGGAAAAGGGGGTTTCCCTTCCTGTATATACTGTCTTCTAATGCTACTTTATAACCGTAAATTTTTAGGTATAATTGAAATTTACCTTAATAGCCTTACAGGTTGACCTAAGATCTGACCTGTGTTCTTCGACGTAACTTATCAATTCGGGTTATACTGTAATATACTAACAGCTTATGAGTCTCTGACCATGACCTTCCTGCGTAAAGTTACTTATAACAAAATAAATATATTTTTGTAATATATCAAGTTGAAAGGCAAGAGTTAAGAGAAGACACAAAGACACAACAATACCCTGTAAGACAAGAGACCGATGGTCCTAGCGGGTCACAGCGGTAAGTAATCACTGTTGTGTCACTGTGCTTAAAATGTCACAGGTATACACAATTGGCCTTGAGGTATCAAAATCGTGTAATTCCTCACAAAACCACCAGGTTTACCACTATGGCCAATATGACGTGAAAAATGTCCTGTTATAACATTAGTTTTCCAAATACGACAGTTACTCGATCAATCTTTGCGCATCACCAGATTCATCTTCATAGTATTTATATTTACATTATTCAGACCTGCCAAAGATGATTTATTTGCACCTAAAATTCATAAATGCACTGATATTTGAAGTACGATCCAGTGGAGGTGGAGGAAGTATGTTGAGAAAGTAAAGCGAGCCAATTCGGATAAACAAAAATTGAAATACAGTATTTTTAAAATAGTTGAACTTCATTTGTTCGTCTGAGATATTTTAAGCTTCATTTGTTCGTCAGAGATACTTTAATTATTCTGTGAGTTCGGCCGCCTGCAGCAGCATTGTATAGTATTTGCTGTAGTAAAGTATTCCAGTTGTGAATCTGATTAGAACGTACACAAAAGAATATTTATTTCCAAATATATCGTAAGAGGATATATTCTAAGATAGCCACATACTGTATATAGGATACTCTTAAAAACACGGAGATGGTCAAAACAGTGGTTTTACGGACATACAGTATACGACGCGGCGACGAACATGAGTAGATTCCATTGTAATCTTACATAATCAAACCTACCTAACCTAACGTGAATTAACCTACCAAACCCACGTATCCCAACGTAAATTAACCTATCAATTTAAACCTAACCTATAATATTTTGTAAACAAGTCAACATGCCGTCGTATGTTCGTGTTCAGGACAAAAAATAAAAATGCAAATAAATCGAAAAAAGGCAACCCCTTTATTTTTATTTTTTAATAATCTAGAAGTATGAGTGAAGTTTTCTTTCTAGAGAAAATTCTTCCGAAGTTGCTGGTTAACAACAGTAAGTGTTTCAGAGGAAAACCGGGTTTTGTAACTTTAGTATCTATCTGGGCAAAGAACACCTCATGGGACAGTGCTTGGGTACATGAATATGTAGAGGAGTTATACGATTTAAGCTTGATTAATTATGAAATCAATATAGAGCTTGATTTAAACCTCTTATAAGGTATTTTTTACTATAAACGTCACGGCAGAAAATTATTAGCTACTCGCAAATTTAACTTATAGTTTACAGGTGGTCTGTGACTGGTACTACGGTGAGTAATGCTAACACTACAGCCTGCATATATATATATATATATATATATATATATATATATATATATATATATATATATATATATATATATATATATATATATATATATATTATCTGTATAGTGTACTGTATATGCAACACCATTGCCATAATTGTTAATGCATTTATATGATGCCGTAATTTGAAAACATGCTTCAGTAATTCTGATTTAAAGTTCGTTCGCAAATTATAGCTACAGTACAGCGTCAGTGGACAATCAGATTACGAAAAGTGTATTGACAATAATGGCGAACAAACTGAACTTATGGGACTTGGCTTCGCAGTCCCTATTATTACCCCTTATAATTCCCCTTGACTATAACTTTGGCCAGAATCTTCTTACTGCTGTTTAAAGTAAAAAACAATCACCACACGTAAAATATGGCAGTGGATATTCGTCCTGTATTCCAGATGAATATCTCCAGCCTTTCGACAATCATTATATAGAAGACAACTTATTACTTACCTCAACAAAATCACAAGCAATGGTGAAGAATTGAAATTTTCGATTTTTTTTAATAGGAAGAGATAAAGAACTCAACTTCCACGCCACTTGTAGAGCTTAATCTGGTGTTTACAAACAAATCTACTTCGTCCGAGAGTTCGGGACAAATATCTACTGCCTAAAATATATAGAATTCCTATGTATCCTAGAATACTAATCAAAATTCGTTATGAAGTATAAAAAAAATTAATGATCAAGAACATGTATAAAAAAATATTTCAATGCATGAGAATATCCAATGTGAGCCAATTATCAGAATAGGTAAACCAAATTTCAATACTGTACAGTACTAACCTTTGATAAATGCAAAAACTAATTAGAATAAAAATGTATGATTAAAAGAGCATGTGAACATACTAAGATACGGTAAGAGGAAAGTGTAAAATTAAATAAATTATTTGCTTTGCCTTCTACTGTAGGTAAAATATTATAAACAATAGGATGTTGGCAGCGTGCATTGTGAATTTGTGTCCTGAATTCGATTCCTATCCTGGGACAGATGTGACAAGGGAAAGGTACTGTTCTCCTATCCTATGCACAGTACCTTGGAGAAGGGTGTGAGTGACCCTACCAATCAATCATCACAGGTGTTCTCTTGGTACTCCGGTTTCAGCCTAAATTAACACTGGACAATGAAGGACAAAACTCATCAAGACCAATGTGGGATTAATCAAGCCATTCATTTCCTTTCCACGCCAAAGCAGTAAACTCAAACCCCTAGTTGTTGTTTTTTGTTTTTATTTGTCGCTATCGCTAGGACAGACACCTTGTAGGGGTATGAGATATTGGTTTACGCTCAGGATGGGATGGAGAAAGGAAACTCACAATGTGCTCACTGTATACATATTGCATTGGATGTACAAGGCAGCTTGTTGCTGGGTAGGTAGCCTGGTAATAAGCGTTGAGTAGAGAGAGCTGGGTGGTGAGGGTGCCCAGAGTGAGGGCACGCAGCTTGAGGGACGCCACGGTCGCTGGCGGGAGCAGCAGCCGCACGGCTGGCGCGGAGGTGTTGCTTGCTGGTGGCACTGGGTAGAAAAGAGAGTGGTCACAGCGGTGTCAGGCGTTATAAGGCGGGGGTAGGCGTGGGTAGATAGTTGACCCCCGCTCCGTGGGCGGCGCTGGAGGCGCAGGCTGGGAAATTCGAGAAGGTTCGGTGCTTGTAGGGGAGGAATCCACTACAATACTCCCCTTTCCCTCCGGGCGCGGCGGGAGGCTGGAGGTTGGCAGAGTTGCGTGCTACATGTGAGGCAGAACGGGCGGTGCGTGCCACATGTGAGGCAGAACGGCGAGGGCGTGAATGAGCCGGTCGCTAGGGTGGGGGGCAACTCTGTCTAGATACACGAGATCTGTGGGAGAAAAGAGGGAGAAGGAGGGTTGTGGAGGCGATGAATGTTGTGCTTCACTCGCGACAGGTACAGAGTCCTCAGATGCGCCTGCTGGGGTGTGTGGGCCTGAGTCAGGAGCAGGGGCTGCGTTAGGAAGTGTGTCCATGACAGCAGCAGGGTGCATGACAGCAGCAGGGCCCACGACAGCAGCAGGGGGTACCTGAGGGAGAAAAGAGGGGTGTGTGGGTCCGCGTCCGGAGCAGGGGCCGCGTCAGGAGCGGCAGGGGGTACTGCTGGGCCGGGGGCGGCGTCTGAGGCAGGGCGGGTGTGTTGGGGTCAGTAGGACGTGGTGCTTGGGGCAGGAAGAGGAGCGGCTGTCTGCTTAGAGTAGCAGAGCTGCTCTAGGGTGTCTAACCTGCGGTGTAGAGACAGTAGCAGTAGAGCCGATGAGAGCTGCCTCTGCGTGGGTAAGCCAATCTTCCATGTTGCTTGAAGACTGGGAGAGTGTTCAGTTTTCCTCCATCCTGTGTGAGTGCGAATCTCCGGGGGTCACCATTTGTAGGGGTATGAGATATTGTTTCACACTCAGGATGGGATGGAGAAAGGAAACTCACAATGTGCTCACTGTATACATATTGTATTGGATGTACAATGCAGCTTGTTGCTGGGTAGGTAGCATGGTAATAAGCGTTGAGTAGAGAGAGCTGGGTGGTGAGGGTGCCCAGAGTGAGGGCACGCGGCTTGAGGGACGCTGGCGCGGAGGAGGTGTTGCTTGCTGGTGGCACTGGGTAGAAAAGAGAGAGTGGTCACAGCGGTGTCAGGCGTTATAAGGCAGGGGTAGGTGTGGGTAGAGAGTTGACCCCAGCTCCGTGGGCGGCGCTGGAGGCGCAGGCTGGGGAATTCGAGAAGGTCCGGTGCTTGTAGGGGAGGAATCCACTACAACCTCAGCTCTGAGGGCATGGCGTGTTTACTGGGGTCAAGGATTTTTTTTCTGTTCTTTGTGTTTTAATATTTTTGCTAATATTTTCGTTGGCAGTTATATAATATAATGATCAATGTTTTCTTCTTGTTCCCCACGTATTTCTCAACGTCATTAATCTTCATGTTACTGTTAGAAGTTACATTAAGTTAAAATAGTGTAGTGTCCTATAGTATTATTCGTTTTCTTCTTTTATAAAATTTTTCTCTTTAAAGAAACTAACGAAAAAGAAATACATAAAACATTACGGTTTTTCCATTTGATTCAAAACAGCAGCATAGAGTTTAGATACAGTATTATCATATAATGATCCCCCTGGCTTTTAATTTCAAACACATTTAATTTTAGTTTTAAATTAAATGTAAGATAGTGTTAAATCTGAGCGTCAGGGTGCAGCACTGCGCAGTACGTTGTAGTGAACATTGACAACCGTACACAAGTGTGTTTCACTTCTTAGCTTTATAAACTTTGGAGTTTGTACTATCAGCTGATAGCGTAAATAAACACATGGGTTGGTACAGGTAAATTTCCCTTTTTAGGGAAATTTACCCATAGAGTGGAGAAGGGGAAAAAAATGAAAATGGGTCAAAATCTAGGGGGTATGGAGAGCAGCAAGTTTGTGTCAGTCGGCGCCCAAACGCCCACCCTCTCCACCCACAAGGTACTTCGGCCTTGTAATAAGGCCAACACGATGTTAAACTAACTAAACTACTGTACTTCGTTGTGTCGTGTTGCATTGGCACTATATTTTGTTTATATTACCATTCTCCTCTGGTCACACACCTCTGCTCTTCCTTGTCCCGTGATAGGCTGTTTTCATTAATTTGAAATCTAATATATTATTATACTATATGTAAAATCGCCTGGGCTAAGACCTACAAAGAACTTTTTCAGACTGGCCTGTAAATCCTGTATCTAAATAAACAAACAAAAATAAAATATCGCACTAGACTAAAAGGATCAAACTCGGCAAAAACGCATTGGATATTAAAAGGACACTTACAGTTGCTATTAATATGGGTTAGAGTTCTGTGAAAAAGTTTAGAGCTGTTTGAGGTACTGTAAGGTAAAGATTGCCAAAATAATTAGTTACATTCAATCTCCATCCTAATAGACACTTTCAGTAAATTATATATTTATTTTCAGCCACGCACGTAATAGCTACAGTATGTTAACATGCAGATGCAGTCATGTTGATTATCGCCAATTTAGTACTGTACTGTACTCTAGAAATGTAAATACTGTACTAGCATATTAAGATCATTTTCTTCTTTAAAATACCGTGTAATTCCCACATCTTCTGGGATGAGCACAGATTAAGGAGTAGTTACTAACAAGGCTAATATATACAAATCTTAATGAAAAAATTATCCGATTTGTACAACGTGCCATTACTCAAATTCATGTTGGCATATTCGGAATGTGAATTACACGAAAGCGCTTCATGTAGATATCAGCATACTGTACATGGATCACGGGCACCTACAGCAAATAGGGAAATTCCGTAACTAAAAGGGAATTTTTGAGGGTGCATCAGGGAAATTTGGCTGAGGAGACATGACAACACGCCAGGTGCACCAGAACCAAGGAAAAGGAATTAAACGTTAGTGTCGTTCATCAGAAGTATTTACCTAATGTGAAAGTTGCTTTAACAGTTAAATTGTTTGGAGTGCTTTTATACTTCTCTAGATGAATATAATTAAAAATAATGGCAAAATTGCAGATTACAGCAACCAAAGAATCTGATAAAAAATGTGTTCCTGACCTTACCTAACCTAACCTAATGTAACATAAGAAACTGATCACAGAAAAAAGTTATATTGATTGAATGTAGAGAATTTACGTTATTCTGTGGTTGTTGTTTATTTCAACATTACCAAAATAAGCTGTGAATATTTATCCGGTGTCGGTTAGGTAGTTATTTAGACTAAGATCAGGAGTTAATAGAATTGGACGAAACTGTGTCAAAACGTTAATTGCAATCTATTAAATACATAAATGTTAATAAGAATACATTCAGTGTCGTTAGGTTTGTTTTAAATGGGTTTTCTGGTAAGTTAGGTAGTGTTAGGTTGTAGTGGATCTCTCCCCTACAATTGAGTATCCGCTTTCCAATGCGACAGTATCCTAGCAACCAGCGAGCTGCTCACAGGGGGTCGCCATCTGCGACGTTTGCCGTAACAACGGAGTCAAGCAACCGGCGAGTTCCCACGGGTTTACTTCCAGCTGCTGTGTATATAAGCTCGCAGTCTCTCCTTTGAGATGCATTCTACCCTATGTTCTTGAACACGCAACACCTCCTCCGAGCAAGCTCCTCGCTGTCCAGCTCTCATTCAACCTGGAGAACAGCAACACCTCCTCTAACAAAGCTCCTGCACAGATACCTCCTAAAACACGCTACTCACCGAACGTGTCTTCTGAGCAAACTTCTCACTTTCCATCCATCCCATCCTGAGTGCTAGACAGCATAACATCACGAAACCCTACAGGGTTACTTTAGGTTAGGTTGGTTAGGTAAAGTTCAAATAGGTTCTGCTGGTGTTATTCTAAAAAAAAAAAAAACTACCTAACCGAGAACCGGACAAATATCCACAACTTAAAAAATATAAAACTTGTGTATCGTGCTGAGATTGCTGCCATACTGAAACTTCCTCTGCAATCCATATACATGTAGGTAATAGTAATGTGCTGAGATTATCATGCCTCGATTGCCATGCAGAATTTATCACAAAATTATTGTAAATTACATCAATTTTCTGTGTATTAGCCATATAAATTAGTAGCTTAGGTAAATACTGTATTTCTTAGTGTCCATGCATGGAACTCAATATTGATTTGTATATAAGGAGATAAAAATTATAAAATAATACCTGACTAGCATTTTCATCACAATTTATTTTATTTTTTTTACTTTTTTTTCCTTAAAATCAATTTTGATCACAAAGTGGGCAAGGTTTTGAAGTAGAGGGAAATTGTGGGGTAAAAACACGCAAATTGCTGACGAAACTAAACCTAACGACTCAAATACGTACCGGCACAGTATCACTGAATTCTGTTTGATTATTGTACAAACATATCAGTAACTGATGTCTTTTACTTTCTTGTGGTGTGTACAGGCTTGCAAAAATGTTTTTTTCAAAGTTTTATCTGCACACAGCTATCAAAGACATGCTTCTCAAAGTTTTTGCTGCAAATTCCCACACCAAACTAAATGTGTTACCAGTATTTTGTTCAGAAGCACTATACCTCTCAATGGCATCAGTAAATTAGGGTACAGTATAGAATTACTATACAGTATTGTCTAATGGTAGACCCTACTTCCATATGGCATCACGAAAATTGTGACCAAGTCTTAGGTTGCTGATTTATCTTTCTGCCTCATTTACACACAATTGCAGAGTTTCAATTGTTTCTCTTCCTTTGACAACACAACATACATACAATATGATGTTTCTCACCTCTGATCTTTTTTCCATTTATTTATGGTTGGTTATTTAAAATAATGCCAATTCACTTCAAGTAATGGCATCAAATTTTACCGGCTGGTGTACACTAGTGACTCACTTAAGCGCCAGTTATTTAACTGAAACTAATGTTGGTTTAAGTAAAATATTTCCATTTACTTGAAATAGATTTGCCGATTTATTTGTTTATTTATTTATTTATAATACAGTATACTGTAATACATTAAACACACTGTTTCGCGAAAAAGGGAGGCTACCATTATACCTGGTAGGTGAAGTTGACCAGACATTTATGGTGATCATTACGGACCAAACTCCGAATCCATTTACTGAATATTCTTTGTAAAAAAATAAAATTTAAATTAATTATTTATAGGAGATAAGTATTATGATCAGTAAATATACAGATATGCATTACTGACCGGCTCCGAACACAAGGACGGCTAAAACTAGCCACAGGCGATCACAGTCAAAGTCACTTTCCCTCTCTTGTCACTTGTCAGTTAAATATTGCGGTTTAGCGTGTCAAGAGTGGTGATGGAAACATGGTAAACCACTCACAAGGTCCTACCACTAATTATTTTATACTGAAACTTATGTTTGGGAAGCTGGATTAAAATGAAGATTACCGGTATATTAAAATAATAAAAATGTATTATAAACCAGTCTAACATACCGTAAAAGAACAATATACCCCAGTAATAAACACAGCTGCTATCAAAGGCAAGTATGAACTTTTCATACTTCCCTGTTGGGCGCTGTAAACGCTTCTGCGCTTCACCTTGCACAGGATGTAAGGGGGTGCCCAATAAACTATCCCCCTCGGGGGCAAATCTGAAATCAAATCAGCTGCTATCATCACGCCCCCCCCTCCCACCCCCATTTGCCAGTGACAAGAAAGGGAAAGTGACCTTGACTGTGACCGCCTGTAGCTATTTTTAGCCTGTTGAAAGCTTGTTGCTGTTGCAAGAATTATATTGAAGGTGTTGCGACTTGCTTTTACTATACAGTACATATGTGTTTATATGATGTTATTTTTCCATACATTTCTTCAAACACATTATTTCAGAATGGCACTACGTGGAGTACGAGTAGTGGAGATGGCAGGGTTAGCCCCTGCCCCTTTCTGTGGAATGATCATGGCAGATTTTGGTGCCAGTGTCATCAGAATAGATAAGGTAAATACCGATAATGATTTATGGCCCATCTGCAAGTACAGTACATTCATACAACTAAGTTAATCATTGCCACCACTTATGAGCTGGGGGTCATGAACTTAACTGCAGGGTAATGTAAGTAAAATTACTAGATAACTTTTCATTACCTGACTGTTCTTCAGAAATAATTGTGTATGTATGTATTTTGGGGAATTAATGCCATAAATTTGCACCAGTGACAGCAGTGTTCCTCAAGGCAGTGTGCTTAAACTGATGTTGTTCATTTGTTTTATAAATGGTATGCCGTATGCTGTTCGTTCTTCCATACTACTTTTTGCAGATGAAACTAAGAAGTAATATCTCTGTTAGGCGGAACAATTGGTGCAGAGCACTTCCGGGAGTGAGAGATTTCCGGGTAACGAGACGACTCTCTCAAAGCCGAAAAAAAATTCCCCATTCCCGGAATTTTCCGGGTAACGGAAAACTTTTCTCTGAATTTCCAGAAAATGCGCCTCATTTTCACATCTCAAACCCGGAAAAAACTCCCCCATCCCAGTAATTTTCCGGGTACCAGGAAAATTTTCTCAGAATTTTCCGGAAAAAGTGCCCCTCGGAAAATCGTGCCCAAAGCCGGAATTTTCCAGAAAATTTCGGCTTTGGAAACGATTTTACGGATATCAGAGAGTTCCGGGTTTGAAGGATTCCGGCTAACGGAGATATTACTGTATTCAGGGAAATTAAGAACCTATTGGACTGTGAAGCACTACAGGAAAGTCTCTTGAGTGCAGGATAGGAATCATATCACATGTAATTCTGTGATGAAGACATTTCAGTAACCGAAATTAAATGTGAAAAATATCTGTGTTTATGTTAACAATGAACTGAAGTTCTGGATAATTACTGTATAGGGTACACTGTATAAGGAAATGAATCACATTAATAAGCTAGTTGGACTTAGACAAAGATCTTACTTACTGGTAGTATGTTAAGTAAGACTACAACTTAGGGATAAAAGAAAACTTGACAGTGACACATGGACTTGGAATGGAGGAGAATGCCCTAAAATGTAAACTACAAAGATAAGTTACCTGAGTGATGTATCTGGGGTTACCAGAATGGAAGGTGTAAGAAAGAGTGAAGTGGGTAGGGTGTTGGAATGGTAGAGAATGTAAACTTTGTACAGTAGTGGTGGAATAGGTGGAGGGAGGTTTCCTGAGAGGGTATGGGTGTGTGAGAAGGATGCAAGAAGAAAGGATAGTAAAGAGGTGTTCATGTGCAATGTAGCAAGCACATTGGGTTGAGGAAAACTGCCTACATCATAGGAAGAAAAGGTGAAACAATACATTAAGGAGAGAACGGGGAATGTTTAACACAAGAGTTTTTCAACATGAAATTTGTAAATTTTAAATTTTCTAAAAGAAAGGGAGTTTATTGTCCAGAAAAAAGAAGGCTATCTTAGTTACTGTATGGCAAAGTAAGAAAAATCAATAAGATTTTACAATTAGGGTCTTTTGTATCTAGTACTGTATACAGTATGCATAGCTAACATCCTTCATTTTGTGATGTGATCTGGTTTGACCCTTAAACCTAGATGGAATATATGCAGTGTGAAAGTGTGTTTCAAGGAAATGCTTCCAAAGCAAATTCTTTTATAACTTTTTTACTGTACAGTACTGCATTATGAGATTGTGTTGATATTTTTTTTTTAATTTTACAGCCAAATGCACCAGATATAGATAGTTTAGGTCGTGGGAAACGCTCGATCATTGTGGATGTGAAGAAGCCAGAAGGAAGAAACATTGTGAAGAAATTATGTTCCAATTCTGATGTGCTGATTGAACCATTTAGAAGAGGTAAATCTTTCAGTACATTATTTTGTTAATACTGTACAATGTATACATATTAACTCCAGACACCCATTAAGCCTTATCCTTTACCAACTTCAAATGATTCTCCTTAAAAATATATTCTTGTCCATCTTCAAACATTTCTCCAGCTCTAACCATTTCTTCTTTTCCATCTCTGTAGGAGATAAAATAGCCTTTGTTGCTGAAGCCGTTTTCACTATTCAGTAATAAAAACCATGTCCAGTTACCAGGTCATCCCCATACATCTTCAACTGTGTTGAGATTAAACATTTCTCCATACAGTCATATACAGTACTTGTGTTAGGCCCACCTCACGCAACTCGATATGAATGTTTGTTTCGGGAAGATTAGACTGCAGGCGAGGCATAACGTTGCTATCGAGTTTCCATTAACGAAGTATGGTGCCAAGCTATGGGGTCAGTAGGACAGTGCCGTTTTGTTCATCATGTCTCATGCCTGCCACAACCACATTTAAGCTTGTAGGCCCCAGTCAGTGAACTAGTTAACTTTTACAATTTACTTTTATCCTCTTCGTCATGATCGGCTCGATGCCGCTTTGGCGGTCGGTCATGTCTATGTTATGCACTGTTGGCAAGTACAGTACTGGGCATACGCTGGCTCCTGAATGTATCTGTACCTACTCCAGTGGTGGTCAAGTCTGGTCTTGAAAGAGCCCACACTTGGTGGGCAAAATGTTCCAAGAGTTCACAATTCTCACTCTGAAAATGTTTGCCCTCACAGTTTTTTGGACTTGAGGCTTCTTCAACCTTGAACTTTGACCTCTCGTGGGGTAGGCATCTGCCATCTCCAGGTATGGACACTAGACAGAGCAGTGTCCTCCAAGATGTTATACACTTCAGTTAGGTCACCCCTCGCCCGTCTATAGTATAAGCTAAGCAGTTGCAAGCTTTCTAATCTCTCTGGGTAACTGAAGTGCCATCGTGCAGGCACCAGTCTGGTGGCCCTCCTTTGGACATTTTCAATCAACTGACAATCTCTAGCATATCTTGGGGACCAGACGGGATGATAATACAGTACTCCAGATGGGGAAGCACCTCACTCTTGAAGATTGTTATGAGGGATGAACTATCTAGATATTTGAACGATCTTCTTATAAGACCTACTAGTTTAATTGCTTGATTCACCTTTTTCTCACAATGGCCCGAGAACTTCAGTTCCTTTTCATATTCGGTCTCTATTACTGCAGTTTCTTCATCCCGTTGGGACATGTGATACACCTCCTCACTGTTGGTACATCCTAGGTGCATCCTTTTACACTTCATGAAATTGAATCTTAACAACCATTCCTTTGACCAATCTTGAAGCTGTGGACTGAGATCTTTCTGTTGCTCTTCATAGTCTGTTTAATTCTTAATTTCCCTGAATAACTTGGCATCGTCTGCAAACATTTGTATGGAGGAATGTATAGTTTCTGGCATGTCATATACAAAACAAACAATCAACAACAAGCCCAGTACACTGCCCTGTGGTACCCAGCTTGTCATGAAGAAAGTGTCCAATCTACGCTAGAATACTTCCCTGAATCGCATACCCTTCCAGTTTAATTCTCAGCTTTTCATGGGGTATGCTGTCAAAAGCCTTGGCAAAATCTAGGTACATATTGTCGATATTACCACCTGTTATAAAATTTGTATCAAAACATGCATTATTCTTTAGGGGACCTGACAATTGGCTGACTACAAACTAGGATATTCATTATAGGCTGTGAGATTGTTACAACCTATTTTCCATCAAATCTAAATTAACCTTCTTCCAACAGTGTCTACTTCCTCTGCAGGCCGTTTTCCTGGGTAACACACCTTAGAAAGACTCCCAGGAATACATTATTAATTTAATATTCTTGAGGTTCATTACATCAGATATTAGACAAATTTTTTTAAATTTAGAAAAGGACTAGAATCTTGAACATTTACGTTGGTACAGGGGCTCCTCATTATCCGAGCATTGTACTGTACAGGTATCGTAGTCATTATTTGTGGATCTGCAGTTATGAGCCCAAACTATTGTAGAACTATGATTAGAATTCCCCAAACTTATGAAGATTCCATAGGTGAAATCCGTCAGTCAAATGCATAAGCATTTGAAATTCCCGCACGCCTCCCATTCTCTCAAAGTTCATCCTTTTAGCCTGCGCCACACATGCACTGTAACAGTCGTCCACGTCCCCACAAGCCTTGTTCTGAAAGTGCTCCAAGGATTTTTTTTTTACATTGTTTTGCCTTTGGTGAAATTTTTTGTAGTCATGAGTTCCAAAGCAAAGCAAAGTGGTGTGTACATCCCAGTATGTGTGAGAAGTGAATGCATTTATTGAGGGAGTGAGCTGTAACTGTGGCCAACCACACTCTTCCTCCCCCCCTATGTGATGTCACAGCATACAGGCAGTAGCCACACACATCTCTTGAGTCAGCTTGGTGATTGCATAGATGAACTGTGTAGCATGTATACTGTACCAGTAAGTGTGAGGAATAAATAAAAATAAATAATAAATAAAAGAAAAGAAAAAATACTCCATTGCCATTTGGCAATTATTTCATGGGACACAAGACAGAAAACAGCTGAGAAATCCCCCATGCCGCTCCACATCTCCCGCTCTGTGGGCTAACTGCTCACCACGTAAGAAATGTTTATTATCTTTATGTTGTTGGCCTTATGATAATTATTTCATTTTATTTTTATTTTGTTTGCACCTTCTGTATGAATGATTGTGTGTGCATGTAAGAGAATAAAAGAAAATGAAGAAAATTCTGTTTACACTAACTGCCCAAAATTACGAGTTGAACAATAACATAGCTCACAGTTCAACCTCACCTGCTTTGAGTGCTACTGAGTGTCAAGTGGCTACCCGTACTCGGCTACGCAATCACATGACTCCTCCATGGATATGATTTCTTATTTATTTATATATTTATTTATTTATTTTTAATTTAATTTTAATAACATGTCACTTTCACTGAAATGAGTGTGCGAGTGCGCAGTTGGCCGGCCGCGTGGTTACGTAGTCTGCATCGCATCAACACATTGACCCCAAACGACTTTAAGTACCGTAATTACGTTATAAAGTTGAATAATTTTTTTAAATAATGTGTAATCAAATTTTTAACATCGGCGACATATGACCTAAGCTGTTGCATCGCCAGGGATGTAATTACCACAATCAATCAAATGTTTAACATATATTTCTAAGGTACAGTATATTAATTTTAAAAGATATCAAATTTAACTTTTGAGTGTCATTAACAATGTGATGGTCCCGATTACACCCTATTCCTCCTATTAATCCTTATGGGAATTAATTCCCCTTTATCTGTGGAATCACAATCCAAGTCTTTTTTCTAGTCCCTATTAAGCTTGGATATCAAGGACCTCCTGTATTATCTATTCTAACGTGAGTAATGTGTGATGCCGAGTATTGCTCAGGGTATTACCCATCTCATTCTCCAATTACCTCAAGTGATGGTTGACCCACATGATATAGGGAGGCTGCCATTTTGGTGCCTTACCTCCGTGCCCCACAGGCCTTAGTCCTTTGTGCATGTTTGTTTTGTCTACATATTGTCCTTGTTTACTCTGTTCAGCCACAATTTGGAAAAGGCATCTTTATTTGTGGTTCTGTGACACTTTTAAGGTTTTAGCAATGATTTCTGGTGCTGAATCTGTACAGCATATGTTTCTAGCAGGAAACATCTCAGAAAAGGTAAAAATATTTATTGAAGCATAGTGTGGATTAAATCTTTGAATCTGATTCCCATAATCACCACTACACATCTTTGCCTTGGCCTTGGGGTGCACAGAATAAAGTTCGTATATTGGATTTCAACTTCTGTCTACAGGCTGTATTATTAACATGTCTTAAAACTGTAGAGATCAGAGCATTGGCTGGTTACTTGTGCAGTGGGCAGGCTTGAGTTTAGGAGTCTTCTGTGATTCAAAGAATATGAGTCTTCAGGGGGAGATCCCATCCAGTTTGTGAATCATATTTGGACTGGGTTTGCCCCCGATTCTTTAAAAAAATCTAAGGGTTTACTGTATGTTGATAAGCTATTTTTAGAATACTTATCTCTGTATACTGAAATTTGTTTAAGGACATCATTAAACTTTACTTCTTCTTTGCAGGTGTCATGGAAAAGATAGGTTTGGGGCCAAAGGAACTCAAGGAGGACAATTCCAGACTTATTTATGCCAGACTAACTGGTTTTGGGCAGTCTGGACCCTATGCTGACATGGCTGGACACGACATTAATTTTGTTGCAATTTCAGGTAAGTGTATAATTGTATTTCTTATTATAATTTTTGTGTTGCCTTAGACTAGGTCAAAACACTTGATAGACAGTTGTGATAGATTATATGTTTGAAAACTTGGCAACTTTTTTATGGGAAGAATTAAATGTTCTGAAAATATTGAAATTAACACTTCCAGTTTTTGGTAGAGAATTGATAACTGTAGGGAACAACTGTGAAATCAAATTTAGTTCTGAAATGGTTAAGGATAGAAGGAGTAAGAGGGAGATAGATGAGATATACTGTATACAGTAGTGTACAAAATTATCATGTTTGGCATAAGATTGAATGAATAGTACCATAGTGAAAGCTGAAAAGTACAGTGGTCCCTCGGTTAACGAGCACAATCCGTTCTAGAAGGTTGCTCGTTAACCGAAAAACTCGTTAACCGAAACCATTGTTTCAATGGGTTTTTGGGTAATTGGTTCCAGCTCACCGAAAATTGCCTAAATTCAACAAAAAAGGTAGAAAAGTACACTTTCTTTGAGGTGTGTATGTAGAAAGCTCCTGGATGATGATGATGATGATGGGAATTAGAATGGGGGTGGAGGAGAAGGGAGAAGAGAAGGCATTGGGGTGGAAGAGAAGTCACCCCATGGCGCCATTTCACCCATAAAATTTTAGTTCTCTTGGTGTAATTCAAGATTATTTTCTTTAAATCAACACTGCATTATATATTGTCAATATGTAAAATAAATTTCAAAATAACTAATAATTTGCTTGCAAACACAGAAAAAAGCATTTAGTTGAAGAGAGTCTCAAGCAAGATGTTACCTCCACTGAAAAGACACAAAGACTGACGCCTGTATGGTGTGTTGGCAGGCTGGATGGCGCGCATGAAACTAGTGACCTTACCTTCAATTATGTTCAATAATTGTTAAAATGACTAAAAAATTTAATATTAAACTTTTACAATTATTGAATAGTATAAACTTCTTGATATTTACTAAAATGGTAAGGAATTTAAGCCCTAGAACCAATTACTGTATTGGCGGACTAATACTACAGCTGGTGGACCGCCAAATGCAAGCGAAAACATATTCAGGTCGGCTCGTAAGAAACTCGTTAATCGAGGGATTGCTCGTTAACCGAAGTTAAGAATCTTATGGAAGGTAACTCGTTAACCGAAATCTCGTTAACTGAGGCACTCGTTAACCGAGGGACCACTGTAATGAGTTAGAGAGAGGGTGAGACAGACTGTAATTAAACAGAAGAATGGCAGACGCGAGCAGTAATATACAAAACCTAGTCCAAACAGGTCAGAGTGTCTGTTAAACCTGAGATCTGTTATAGACAGTGTTCATTATATCGGGGTTTACACTATATTAAATGTTTTTAACACTATTATGTGTCATATTTGGATACACACAGACTTAGTATAAAACAGTGAATGATGCAGACAATGTATATGTGAAACAAATTACATATACTGTATGTGAAATTATGTGTACCGGTACAACGTAACAGAGGAGTGACCGATCACCCAAGCGGCTAACGAGCCGATCAGTGTTGAAGAGGATAAAAGTAAAAAAAAAATATAGCAAGGACCCCCTGTACTAGGTTGTGTGAAGTGACAAGGGTAAACCTGAAAGATAATGGGAGCCTTGTTGTAAATACTTGGAGCATGGTTGCAGAAAGGTAAATATTTGGAACCTTGTTGCAGAATAGTAGATATTTAGAGCCTTTTTGCAGAAGAGTAGATATTTGGAGCCTTGTTGCAAAAGAGGAGATATTTGGAGCATTATTGCAGAAGAGTAGATATTTGGAGCCTTGTTGCAGAAGAGTAGATATTTGGAGCCTTGTTGCAGAAGGGTAGATATTTGGAGTCTTGTTGCAGAAGAGTAGATATTTGGAGTCTTGTTGCAGAAGAGTAGATATTTGGAGCCTTGTTGCAGAAGGGTAGATATTTGGAGTCTTGTTGCAGAAGAGTAGATATTTGGAGCCTTGTTGCAGAAGGGTAGATGTTTGGAGCCTTGTTGCAGAAGGGTAGGTATTTGGAGCCTTACTAATGAAGAGGAATACAGTACAATAATAGAAGATCCAGTTACAGCAGTAAGAATGAATGAGTAAGGGAGAGTCTGTATTTTTGTTTGCCATTGATTCCAGCCAGTTAGGAATTATAAATGGGAGTGAAAAAATTTAACTCATTCCAAGTCTCTTTTATAAAGACTTGAAATTTATGTACAAAGTGGATTTAGCTTTTGAAATTCTTATTACTTAGCAGACCCCAACCAGTTTACAAAATTCTTGAGAACTGATGTTCAGTCTAGAACATGGCCCTTTTCTTTTTTTATCGGTAACCACGAGGTTGTTAGAAAAAAAATATGCATACTAACTGGCTTTGATTATAAAAAATTTTATGATGATGATGCCTACAATGATAAACTTGACTTTCAGGGTTGCTATCAATGCTTGGACGTAAGGAAGGCCCACCAACTCCACCTATCAACTTGCTGGCAGACTTTGCTGGTGGAGGTCTCATGTGTGCACTAGGCATCACTTTAGCCTTGTTTGAACGTTCAAAATCTGGTGAGTGGCAAGGCTACATATTAATCATACAGTACAGGTAATCAGAAATGCAGGATCTTCATACTTGACCATTCTTCATGACACATTTATACTTTATCATCATCAATTTCCACATTGTCTCCTTTTGGAGGTGAGGTTCTTCTTCAGTACTGGGCTCTTGTTGTTTTGTCTTCCTGCTCCACCCCTCTCTGTCCATTATAATTATTCTGCAGTTACTATCATAATCAGCCTTTCTCGAGTCCTGTCTAACACATTTCTCCCATTTAATCTAGGGTTTCCTCTCATCTGACACCCCATTTTCTGTTCATTTATTTGCTCTCTTCACCAGGCAACTTTTTCAGCACTCAATGACGTAGAGGTTGGGATGTTAAGCTACTAAATGAGATGTGCTGATGTGTTTCAAAGTCATAGGTGCGTGAGTGAATTTGTGTGGTATTAATGAGAAATGTAGATTCTGTGTTTTGCCATTTCTATGTTAGTCAAACCATAGTTATGTTTACTTCTAAAGTATTATATGTTGCAGATCAAGGCCAAGTCATTGATGCAAATATGGTAGACGGTGCAGCATATACAGGGTCATGGCTGTATTCATCTCGTGATATGCCGCTTTGGTGTAAACCTCGTGGGAGGAATTGGTGAGTGTGAATATCGTTTATGTGGGGGATCATTGTATTGTAGTGAGAAATTAATTGCTTTACTTGTAAAAAAAAAAGATTTATTCAAGTGACGTAAATTAATGAGAAGAGAAGAACTTAAAAGGCAAAAGGAGTAGAGAACAAAAGAGATTACAGTACAGTAGGAAAAACTAGGGGAAGTTGAAATCATAACTCAGAGCTGGCCAACACACACACACAGAACTAGTGAGCACCTAAGCCAGCAGAGGCAATAGCCTTGTGTTATTTCATGACTTTCTATTTTATTTTATTTCATAGCTACCTGAAGAGGTGTCATAATTACTTATACAGTGGTCCCTCGGTTAACGAACACAATTCGTTCCAGAAGGTCGTTCGTTAACCGAAACCATTGTTTCAATGGGATTTAATTAAATGCAGTAAAGTACACTTACTTTGAGGTGTGTATGTAGAAGGCTCCTGGTTGATGATGATGATGATGGAAATTAGAAGTAGGGGTGGAGGAGAAGGGAGAAGAGAAGGAAGTGGGGGTGGAAGAGAAATCACCCCATGCTTCATGCCGTCATTTCACCCATAAAATTTTAAGTTCACTTGGTGTAATTCAAGATTATTTTCTTTAAATCAACACTGCACTGCACTATATATTGTCAATATGCAAAATAAATTTCAGAATGACCAATAATTGTACAGTACAGGTTGTACCTCTCTAGTCCGGCATTCTGTGGTCCAGAAACTCCCGTGGTCCGGAACGATTTTAGTTTGTCCAATAGGTAGATAGGCAGCTTTTTTTTTTTCGTTTTTACTTATCTGAATTATTATTATTATTACAGGAGTATTAAATTTTTGCCCCTCAGGCCCCAATGTGGGTCAGTGACCTATGCCCAGGTGGGCTAATCCCCTCAAAAAAAAAAAAGCGGGAAATTAAGGTTTGTTTACGTCCGGCAGTTCGGCTGCTCTCTCTCTCTCTCTGCTTGTCTATACAGAGTACAACATTTAACCCTTCAATATATATGAGCAGTAAATAAGTGTTGCTTTCATATTCTTATGTAGAGTAATGATATGTTTTCACATGTGCGCACTTACATACGCGCAGTCTCACTTTTTTTTACCATTAATGGTTAGCTACTTATAGTGTTCCATTTATTAACATTAAATAACATTACAGGTACTTCAAACAACCATATTAATTTTTTTACATTAATTTTACTACAACTAAAATCAGGGTCTTATTTTCTTCAGTTTTATATGTAGAACCAATCAGTCACTGGTTTTGTAAGCTTTAACATAAACAATGCCGGCAGCCGTCTCATCTCTAATATTCCACGTATTATTAATAAATTGTATTGTTAATTTTGCACACACAAACATTAATTCAATAAAAACAAATTCAGAAACATTAATTAAAATATATATGAACAGTAAATAAGTGTTGCTTTCATATTCTTATGTAAAGTAATGACGATATGTTTTCACGTGTGCGCATGCGCACTTACATACGCGATCTCTCTTTTTTTCTTTACCATTATCGTTAGCTACTTCTATTGTTCCATTTATTAACATTAAATAAGATTACTTAAAACAACCATATTAATTTTACTGCAGCTACAGCCAAGGTCTTATTTTCTTCAGTTTTATATGTAGAACCAGTCAGTCACTGGTTTTGTAATCAACGAAAACAATGCTATGTCATTTCCTCGTGTGTTTTAATATTCTACGTATTATTAATGAATTGTATTGCTCATTTTGCACACATAAACATTAATTCAATAAAAAAGACTTTCAGTAATAAACAATAATGAATCTTTTGTACATAAGAGAAATGACGCTGTTTACACGATTATGCACGTCGTCTGCACATTGGCGGGCTGTTCAAACCCGTCGAAATTCAAGTTTCTGCCGTCAAAATTTTTATTAATTATTTTTTTGTGTTCCAATAGAATACGTTAAGAATTAAAAACTCGCAAAATTTGAGAAGCTACTATATGACATTTAACCATTCAATATGTCTTCAAAGAGACCATGATGCAGAGAGTGGTGCTGGTGCTTCCAAGCATAAGCACAAGTCACTATCTATCCAGGAAAAGGGTGAATTTCCATGGTCCAGCACCGGTCAGGTCCCGAGGTTGCCGGACTAGAGAGGTACAACCTGTACTGTAAAAATTTAAAAATAGTTTATGTTCAAGAGAGTCTCAAGCAAGATGTTACCTCTACTGACCAGGGATACAAACTGACGCCTGTTTGGTGAGTTGAGTGGCTGTTTGGCGCACTAAAAACTAGTTTCCTGTACTTCAATTATGTTAAATAATTGTTAAAATGGCTAAAAATTTTAATATAAAACTTGGAAAATTATTGAATAGTACAACCCTCTTGATATTTACTCAAATGGGAACAAATTTAAGCCCTAGAACCGATTACTGTATTGGCGAACTAATATTCCAGCTGGTGAGCAAGCGAAAACATGTTGAGAGGAATTCGTAAGGAATTCATTAACCAAATTGAATATTCTTATGGAAGGTAATTCGTTAAAAAAAATTTTGTTAACCAAGGCGTTCATTAACCGAGGGACCACTGTACTGTATTGTGATAATGAATTTTCATGTAGTACATAAAAATTAGCACTCAAAACACTAAAAACACTAAAAAGTCAAAGAAAAGAAATATTGTTCTCTACTACAATAAAAGGTCACAAAAATGGCAGTTTGACTTCCATCATTCATATACGCTTTAGTTTTAATACTTTCTTAACCCTGTAATTCTCCATCCCTGTACCTTGTTCATTAGCTTAAAAAAAAAAAAGTCTTAAATTGATTTTTAAAGACCTCCACAGAAGTCAGCTGCTTCATGGATGGAAGCAACCAATTATGCAATCTGGGTGCTGTACTGTACAGTATAGGAAAAGGGTCAAGCAGCAAAATAACATTCCCGTACTGCTCTAGGTTCCTCAAGGTGTGAAGGATCATTTATACTCCACAAAATCATTTCAGTATGTGTAGTCAATGGAATTAGTAAGTTGGCCAAATACTTAGGTTCACCAAACATTAGTGTCTCAAAAGTCATTAGACAGAGTTTGAACTCTATCCTAGCTTTAATTGGAAGCCAATTTAATTTGATCAAGAATGGGGTAGTGGGAGTCCATAGTGGGAAAGAAAAAATAAGCCTGGCAACCCTGTTCAACACTGTTTGAACTTTCTTCAGTAAATACAGTAGTACCCCGCTTAACGCGGTCAATAAAACCCACAGGGTACCGTGTTAAGTGAAAACCGCGCTAAGTGAACAACAGAACATATGGGATTAATTCCAATAGAAACTGGCCCGATCCCCAAACTCCACTTTTTCCGACACAATACCTATGTTCTAGTAAAAATAACATCTTAATTTTATGATGATACATGCACACAATTAATACTTAAGAGAAATAGAGAAATACAGTCGCCAAGTTAATGTCCATTCAAATAATGGACTCAACTCCCTCCCCCTCTTCTCACACTACACTGCTGGCTCTTCCCTCTCTGAGAAATCTTTGGGGGAAAACCACTAAATTTTAATAAATAATACCTCAAACTAAAGTTAGGATAATACAATTGACATTGCTGGATTCCTTGTAAGACCAGGAATATTTTGAATATAAATGTCATATATTTTGCACAAAAGATAACATATTTACTCAGAGTAAACATTACATCTAAAATTTGTATGTCTAATGCAAAATCTATGATGTTTATATTCAAAATGATCATCAAATTATAAGAATTCCAGCAATGTAAATTATATTCTCACCGGGTAATTTGTATGAATTTTATGAGCTAAAACAAATATTTTAAGTTAATAAAAAAAAAATATTCTTCACAGGGTAACAGATGGTTGGTCGGTCCCTCCCTCCCCCCACCAACCGTCCCAACCAGATGTGTGGGAAAACCAGAATATTTAACTTTTTAGTAATAAATAATAACTCAAACTAAAGTTAGGATAATATAATTGACATTGCTGGATTCCTTGTAAGACCAGGAATATTTTGAATACAAATGTCATATATTTTGCACAAAAAATAACATATTTACTCAGAGTAAACATTATATCTAAAATTTGTATGTCTAATGCAAATTATATTCTGGCCGGGTAATTTGTATGAATTTTATGAGCTAAAACAGGCAGTGAGGCAGGGTGGGGGGTTGGGCGAATCTAAAAATAGCTCTCGAGCCGGACACTCACCGCGTATACGTGGAAAAAACCCGCGTTAAGTGAAAGTTCGGCTCTGGCGAGGTACCGCGTATACGGTAAAACGCGCTAAGCAAAACCGTGTTAAGCGGGGTAATACTGTAATTAGGTAGGCAGACCCATAAAGAGCTACAATAGTCAACCTGAGACAAAATAAGTGAATGTGATAGTGTCACAAGACACGGTCTATCCAAAAACTGTTTCACCTCATATAGATTTTGAATATGAAAGTTGCAACTCTTAACTACTGAATTTATATGCTCTTTAAAATTCAGTTTTGAGTCAAAGTATACTCCAAGTTTATGAACATAATCAACAGGACTGAGTTATATTTTCCCAAAGTTTAATGATCCAAAATCATCTGTGCCATCTCCCCTTATATTTCCTCAGATGATAATCTCAGTTTTGCCATCATTCAGCTTATGTTTTCTCCGAGCCATCCAAATCTTCATATCAGCTATCAAGGATTTCATTATTTCCTCAATATCCTCATCATTTACAGTATTATTTTCACTTAAAGCTGTGTATCATTGGCATAGGCAACACCATGAGCATACAGCACAGATGCAAGACTACTGGTGTAGACTGTAAACAAAAATGGTCCCAAAACTGATTCCTGTGGGACTCTAAACTGCAAAAGGACCAGGTCTGAAATGGTTCCACCAACCATCACGCATTGAGATCACTTTGACAAATAAGACTCGAGTAGTGAGAGTGCATCATCATGGACACCAAATGACCAAAGATCCTGAAGCAACAGATGATAATCCACTGTGTCAAAAGCTGCAGAGTTCCAGCAGGACTAGATGGGAGGACTTTCCTGTGCAAGTGTTTATTACCAAATCTTTATGAATTTTACATAAGGCAGTTTCCTATTGTGGACTGGACCAGAGGGATCATTCCATTTCTCCCAAACAGAGGAAGTAATTGATCCAACACAGCACGCTTTATGATCATTGATAAGAATGAGAGATTGGAGACCGGAAGATAATTTGACATATTTTCAGTAACAAGACCAGGTTTCTTGTCGAAGCAATGAAGCTTTTTTTTTTTTTAGATCGCACAAAATTACCCTCTGCAAAACATTTATTTATAATTCTACAAATAAAGTCTGCAGCATGTTCATCAGCGAATGGTACCTTAGATACATTTACAGGATCAAGATGACAAAAGTTTTTCTTTGAGTCCTTGATATAGCGTAGAATGTTGTTCACCCCTACAGGACAAAACGATGAAAGAGTGAGGTTTATGACATACAATGTAATTCGGTTGAAATTTAACTGAAAATTCCTAAATTAAAGAAACACCATTAAGGTAATTTCTTATACGTGATATCTTTGTCATAAAAATACAAGGAAAAATCTGAGGCAACCTGAGCATTTGAAGTGGAAAAAGGCACAATAAGCGACTTGACTTCTGTAGTATTTAAGTTTGCGTGCCCTCGCTGAACAAACAACAGCCCTACGCGCTGTCATATATTCTGATCTACAGTATACTGTATTGGGTTTACAGCACCTCTACACTACTATGGGTGCAGCAGCAGAGTGAATACCCCACTCGCCTTTTGTTCTTAGGGTCACTGAATTCTGCCCAGAGCATCCTGTGTCTGCCCTTCTGTGAATGGGTTCTTAACTCTACAGTTAAAGAAATTAAGGCAGTCAAGTGCAGTGCTGGCCACACCACCTCCTTGTGTACATATATAAAGGCTAAGTCTACAGTAGACTGTACTATATCTTCACTGCCCCTAACAGGTCATCAGACCAATGGAATCCTCTAGCACCAAGATAAGTGCCAGACCAATGGAATCCTCTAGCACCAAGATAAGTGCCAGACCAATGGAATCCTCTAGCACCAAGATAAGTGCCATAGAGTGGATGTGAATCCAGACTTTGACCTTTATTTTGGATTTTAAAATGAGGTTACAGTCTCCTCATTTCTGCATAATCTTCTTTATGTTTTTTTCCAGTCTCTACCCATATTGTTGGATCTGGGATAAAGCATTTTGACACCAAGGCTCTTACTAGTCTTACTCACAAAATAAGGTAACAGTGCCCAGACTACTTGATCAAGTATGATCTCCAGTAGCACCAGGGTACTTACTATAGGGTTCACATGTATTCTGACCAATACCGTATCTCTTAAAATGCGATCACAGCAACCGTATTTTTGTAATATGTTTTAACCTCTTGTGTATGGAGTCCTCTCTGAGCTAAATAAAATCGTCTCGCTTTAGCCAAATGAAATATTAAAAGTGGCTTCTCTGTACTGAAGGGGTTGATAATGTTTCTCACAAATCTTTAATATACACTGCTTCCATAGTGCTTTCTCTGGTATACATTTTATGGTAGTAAAGCACATATTAATTTTTCACCTTATTTGAATATCACAATTAAGACCTCTTTTCCAGTAGATTGATGCTCAAAATTGTTGCATAATATTCATTTACTCATTTCCCATTATTTAAAGAATCATTAATGTTGTTCAGCTGGAACACATTCTTCAAGAAGTGTCTTTAGGGTAATATTGGCTCATTTATAGTTATTACCAGGTATTACTATTCATTACTTTTTTGTACTTTCAGGCTAGATTCTGGTGCCCATTTCTATGATACTTATGAGACAAGTGATGGACGCTACATGGCTGTGGGAGCTGTTGAACCCTAGTTTTATCATCAGTTTATCTCACTCCTTGGTCTTAGCATTGATGAAGTGGGACATTTTGATGACTTTGATGCAATGAAAAAAATCATTGGAGATAGATTCAAAGAAAAGACTCAAGATGAATGGACCAAGGTGAGGCATTAAAAGTAAAAGTTGTACTTTATTATGTACTGTAGTGCTGTACTGTAATTAAATGCTGTTTAAGGATAAGTTTGTATAGTATAATTTATTTTAGCATAACTGGGTATTGGTGATTGGCCCATGATTTCCCAGCACACTGAACTCCAACTGTGAGTTGTTATTAACCCTTTGTTGCTCATGGACGAGTATACTCATTCTGTGTATGAGTGGCAGTGTTTGTCATGGACGAGTATACACGTTGGGCTTCAATTGTATGTGAAACAAATGAGTATTGTTTTATTGCGTTTAGATGCGCATCTCACATCTCATCTTAGCCTGCCAGCACCACTTTGTGAGTTACATGACCCGACCTTGACCTGACCTCAGTCGCATATCACCATGTCAAATTCACGTCGCTCTGTCACCCAGGACTAGATTGAAAATACCGTATTAATATAGATTAGAGTGGTAGTGATATCAATAATGAAGCCACTTGAGATTTGTCATAGTAACAAAGACCTGGATTACATTTAGGGAAGTACTAGTAGTGAAAATGAAGAAAATGTGAAAGGGGATGAGGAAAGTGAGGAACATCTTGTGGCTTATCGTTAGGAGGAGGAATAGTGAAGATAGAGAGAATGGGCCGGCTAGGAAAAGGAGGAGAGGAGGACACCATTATCTCTTTGTTCATCTTTTCTCCGTCCACATGATCACAAGTGTCAACCAGCCCGAAGCTCCTCACCTTTCTTCTGACCCCCCACCACCACCCCTCAACGCAAGCGTTAAGCCTTTGTCTCGACGCTCTCCCTTACTCTGCTCACCCACACCTGGATCATCACGTAATCCTACACCCACCCTACATGACTCCCCACCACCCCAGCCTGCCTCTCCTGACCTTTTTTAGGGATGACGCAGGCAACGATGATGATGACCCAGGTGACCCCCAGCTAGGGTGGCCATTTTCAATTTTCCAAAAAGGAGGACATTTTTTGTGACACCTATTTTTTAACCTAAATTAAGCATGTTTAATGATGAGTTGAAAATATATAAAACGTTGTATAAAATCTACAAAATATACTTAGAAGAATTGTTTATTTGTCAAATAACACCATGTGATGAATGCTGTTTTGTGGTGATTTTTCTATTTTTTTTAACGCACTGTACAGGGTATATATTACATACATGCATTCATGCAGTATAAATAAAGAACTGAAAGAAATGAAAATTCATTTTTACTCCTGCTGAAACAGCATATGCTAACCAAATTGAAGCAAGAACAAAAAAGTCAACCACACTCCACTGTGGCCTTGGGCAGACTGACCATCTCGGACGTGTTGACGGTGTTGACAACTTGACTCGTGCTGTCGTACACTGCGGCTCATGAGCAATGTTAACAACGGCAACTACATATAATAAAAATACGTTACCGGTTATAATGGCCTTCAGTTCCCGTTGTTTTAAGTACAGTAAAACTAAGGTAATTTACATAATTCTTTTTAGTCAGACAACAAAACGGAGGACAAACTAACGTCCCACTCGAGGTAGCGCCGGACGGAGGACAGAGTGCTCAAAAGCCAGACGTCTGGCCACCCTACCCCTAGCCTACACTTCACTGCACTGCCACCTGACCTAGTCACATGACTCCACTGCCCTCCCACTCTACCCCACTTTATGTTCTCACCAGCCAGGCTCCCCAAACATTGAAAACGTTACGAGATCTACTCATTTCATTATTACCTGATGCACCTTGTTTTCCCCAAAGTTCAACAATACTGTACCTCTACAGTTTTGTGAGTGTGTTTCAGAATACTGTACAGTAAGTCCTCGTTTAACGTTGCCCCTTTAACATTGTTTCATTATAACATCATTACTCTTTAGATACCAATAATTTGGTTAACGCCCAACGACTCCATATAAGTTCGTTTTTACATCATCACGGACTACTTTGTACGGCACAGCAATCTCTCTTGGCTTGCCACGCTATGCTCTATCAGCTTGGAGCGTTACCTCTCACTCGCGGAACTTCACACAGCGTACCTAAGCGACGCCAGTCTTTGTTAGGCTTCCACAGTGTTCTTACGTGTTCAAGTGTTTTTGCTCGTAATCCTGTACTCTAACCATTCGAAATGGCTTTCAAACAACCATCAAGTGCTACTGATGCTAATGTTGTGAAGAAGCAATGTAAGACCATTAGCCTGCTACGAAAATGGAGGTTTTAACCCATTTTGAAAAAGGGGAAGGTGCGGTGGACATTGCTGGTGCGCTTGGACTAACCCCACAACAGTGCGTACTATCCGGACCAACATGGACAATATTAAAGCAATCGCTGGAAGTAGTAGTTCTCTGAGTGCAACAAAGACAAGTCATACTCGAAGTTCCGTGATGGAAAAGATGGAAAAGATGCTGGCTGTGTGGATGGAGGACCAGAATCAACACAATGCCCCTGTGAGCCTTATGGTTATCCAGTATAAAGCAAAATCCTTGCTTGACAACTTAAAGAGAACTTTATGGCTAGCCGAGGATGGTTTCAACGTTTTAAGCACCGTTATAACTTCCCTAACATTAAGATGACTGGTGAAGCTGCTAGTTCCGATACGGTTGCTGCCGAGATATTCCCGCCTGAATTAAAAAACATTATAAAGGAAGGAGGCTACTCAGCGAAGCAAGTCTTTAATGTGGATGAGACTGGTCTCTTTTGGAAGAGGATGCCAGATAGAACCTTTATCTCAAAGGAAGAGAAAAGAGCGCCAGGTTTTATAACGGCAAAAGACCGTTTGACGCTGCTGCTTGGTGCAAACGCTGCCGGCGACTTCAAGCTGAAGCCTATGCTAATTTCTCACTCTACCAACCTACGGGCCCTGAAAGGTTACTCCAAGGATCACCTTTCTGTCATTTACAAGGCAAATAAGAAGGTATGGATAACCGCCGCCATATTTAGCCATTGGTTAACCGTGTATGCCGTCCCTGCAATGAAGGAATACTGTGCCAAGGAGAACCTAGACTTCAAAATTCTTCTTGTTGTTGACAATGGTCCAGCTCTTCCTCCCAATAGCGACGACTTACATGACACTGTTCAAGTTGTCTTCCTGCATCCCAACACGACAGCATGTAATGTATTTCATGGGGCAGAGGGAGCCTCAGGAATGTAACTCCCGTATTTTATCTATTTATGGGAAAAATTTATTCCGTTAACGTCGCGATTTTCAGGAACAAAACCTTGGCGTTAAGCGAGGACTTACTGTATTAACCTATAGGTCCAGAAGCTACAACTGTGCATCCCCATGAATTTGCTCATCAATATATGGCTGACAATGACCATGTTTGCTTAAAACTGACTCCTAATCTCAGAAAAACTATTTGTGAATTCTTACTGTAATCGTTACAAACATTTTATGTACTTCTGTGTGTGTGTTGTCGGCTGCCAAGTATTGTACAATGTTTCCAAGTCTTACAAAGAGTATCATACAGAGTATTAGGAGTTTGGTGCGTCAAGTGTTCAAACAGCCTTATCTTACTTTATTAACTTAGCTCATCACATATTTTGGATATTATCATGCCAGCATCAAATATAAATTTTCTAGCCAATTGCGGTCGGAAATATGAGTTTTACGGAACCCTACTGTAGATGTTCTACCATCTTAGACCTTGGTACCAAGGATCTCTCTTCCTTCCCTGAATAGGCCTGATCTTATCACAAGAAACTTAAACTTGTCATGGTTAATTTGAATGTGGATACAGATGTTGATAGGATGTCTATTTCCACAGGGGAACTTGTTAAGGTTTCTGAAGGTGAATAATCTTACCTACGAGTATAATAATCTCTGGTCAGTCCTCAAGGATTTTGCATACAGTTCCACCATTAAACTTAAAGTGGTCCAGGCTTTAACTTTGATTCCTCCTCATGATATGTTTTTTGAGAAAGTTATGGGGAAGATTAGGAAATCAACCTACAGTTGTTGTAAGTCACAATCAATGGAACACCTAAGCATATTATTCTACACCACTATCTTCGCTTTGATCTTTTGTGCCATGTTTGAATTGCACCGTTGCCTCCACATGAATGTACTACAACCTGGGAATGTGTGAGGGCCCAGATACAAGATGTGGAAGTGCAGTGCCATAATCATGGTTGAATGAATGGGCATGAAATAGTAAAATTACCTTGTTTGCATGGACAAACATCATTGCTGAAGAAAACTTATCACATGGATGCTTCATTTGTGTATGTTATGCAGCATTGTTGCATAGCCACAATCAAGAGAATAGGACTGAACTATGGGAACCGACAAACAGGGTAATCCTTGGTTTCATGTCCAAGACTACAGCGCTGCGTTGCCACATCTCGTACCTGTGCCTTCACACACTCCCAGGCCATGGTACGTTCATGTGGAGGTAACTGTAAATAGACCTTGACCACTTCTTGAACTGAACTCGTTTTATAATTGTTTGTATTAAGCAACTGACATGTCTCCCTCCTCACTTTAGGGTGCTGAGGTGAGTTGGAGCTGGAAGCTTGCTTCTGCCAGTGTATGTTTTAGTCTTTAGAGCTAATCTTGGCAAATAAATTAATTGATCAAAGTGGTTTGCTCAGCAGCAAAATCCTTGAGCCTTGTCTCCTTTTAGGGTATCTTCTTACTAAGTGGCTAACCTTCGGAAGCCTGGTATGAAGGTGAAGGCCATTTTGGTTTTTTAAATTTATTCTACTACTTTTAGATCTTGGTGGCTTAAGTCAAGATCCTTGGGCCTGGGGTTTCAACCTGTAGACTTTCTGGCCATCTGAAGTTGTACGATTTTGACTTCAGTTCTAAAATAAGAATAAAGTATCAGTGCTCTATATCTTAAAACTTAACATTTATAAAAAAATTATAATATTGTTTTGTACCATTTTCATCTTTAACTATAGTACTGTATACTATTTATGATTATCAGTAAACTGTTCAAACTGTGATTTTAAAGGTACATTTAATTTTCCACAGGTATTTGATGGAAAGGATGCTTGTGTTACTTCAGTGCTTACACTAGATGAAGCACCTCTTCATCCACACAATGCAGAACGTGGAAGCTTTGTACCATCTTCAATAAAAACTGGACGGTTTGAGCCAGCTCCCGCTCCCAAGCTCTCTCGCACACCAGGCATAGTTACAGCAGAAACAAAGTTTCCTAGGGCTGGTCAGCATACAGTAGAAGTCCTAACTGAATTAGGGTACAGTCAGCAAGCAATTGATCAATTGCTTCTCCATAAAATTGCCAAAACAGATACCGGTAAAGAAAAAGCTCGCTTGTAACTTTGGATCAAAAGGTAAATACTTTACAGTAGTTTTTTGGTTTACATAGGGGATTTGGTCTGTTAAGATATGTACGGTAAATAATTAACCTCATTGAAAAATAAATTTGTTTCGCTAAAAAAAAATATTTACGGTACTTGTCAGCAACTCCCTCTTTCCCTCTCTCACACACACACACACACACACACACACACACACACACACACACCAACTCGCTCCCACAACCCAAACATCTACTGAGAACATTTCTTTGAGTTATATTGTATAACTTTACTAAATACATACACAAAACTCTGTAGGGTATTGTACTTAATGAATGTAAGAAGGCATGCTAGGTGCAACAGAAGCTCCTCTTTTATCCTCAGACCTCTTTACTGTTCTAATTATCAGTTCATTAACTCCCTAATCACAGCCTGAATTCACAATGATTTCTCCACCTTGAAGTTTATCTAACATATCCAAGTTTATCACACAAAGTTAATTAATGCAAGACTAGCACTGGCCCTGTACTGAAGAGATATTTTTACAAGTAATCCCAAAACAAGTCAAAAAACAAACAATCATGATGCTTTTTCTGGAGGTAATCTAATGTGGGAATGTAAAGTTCCAGCCACATAATATAGAGACACTGCCATAGCTCCTGGCTGATGAGTAAAAGTTGGGGGAGGGGAGTGGTAGCAGTAGAGGGTAGGGGGGCAACTGGGTGGCTGGTGGGGGTCGAGGTTGGAGGAGGGGGGTTTAAGAGTGGAAGGTCAGTGTCATGTTAGTTATATCTTAATTGGATCAATTGGGCCTAACCTTGAAATTCAGGGCGAGGAACGTGAGGTAGGATTTGGCAGGTGATTTAGCAATAGATATTGTATTATATAGCAATGTATTCAACACTATAGTTTTTTTTTGGGTTGGTTCATGAGGAAAACCCTTGCTGTGACACTGAAGGACAAATGCAGGGAAAAAATATCAGCTTTTATATCTAATAGAGAATATGAAATCATTATGGTCATGGTGTGTGAATCTAAGTAAACTTTATATTAATAATAAAAGTTTCTAATACTGTACAGTAAGTCCTCGATGATCAGACAGTCCAGTTACCAATAAGTAGCGCATAGATCTATATTTAGCTACAGTATCTTAATATTATAATGGGTTTGTTCTCACAATAGTAATTAATGAAATATTTCAATAGTTTATTTTTTATAAAATGTGCTTAAGAGGAAACATTAACTTCTATACAGTACTGTATATAGTTACACACCAGCAAAGTGTGAGCCAGAATTAAAGAATTAGGATTATAGGTAATGTAGCGACTAAAGAATAATATAATGTAATGTAATTATGTAATGTAATGTAATATAGTTAACAAATGTATATAATTGTTGTAACTAGCCATTCTGATCATGTAACTGTTGTTGAGTCGGCTGGCTGACGTGGCTGAACTTGGTTCGAGAATTGAGCCGAGACAGCTTCTTTCAATCAGCCAGTATATATACTCGTGGGCGGCCTCGGAACGGCCACACACTCTCGCTCCGTGCTAGAGCACAGTTCTCCTAGCCACACCAATGAACTGGTAAACGTTGCCTGAGTTTTCCAGTACCAAACATTACAGTAATGTTTAGTGTACAAACATCTACATTTTGTCAAGGTAATTATTGAATTATCATACTGTCATTATTTTGTTTTTTTCTTGGCTTGCATGTCATAGGATACAGTGGCAACAAATTAGAATATGATACTTTATTTTGTATGACTGAAAATTTCACTTTTTACATCATATGAGTGATGTTAGCGATGAATACTGTAAAAACATAGCCCCCCATATTCCATTAATGCTCACGGGGAAATATTTCTCAATAGTGTATTACCGTAGTAATTTCAGTAAAGTATTCTTCCTTACAATTTAGTACTGTATTTGCATAACCCCTGTATTCACAAAAAATAAATATGAACTTGTAAATGTATTTTTAATGTATTTTTAAATCAACCACCTATCTATTGGAAGTGTTTCCTTTATTTATTCAGATATACAATAAGTTACTATACTTTTCAGATCATTTGAATGCGCTATACTGTACAGTACAAAATATATTTCTCACTGACATGCTCTCATATTAGTCCACATACTGTATGTGACTTCCAAAGAATCTTGTCTTTATATTACATATGTTACATATATAAATGCTTAATATTTATTCCAAAGAATACCACAGTGAAACAACTTTTTATAGAAGGCTCTCTATATTCATATAGTTCCTTATATATACATAAAAATCTTTTTCATGACAAACTTTATAATATACAAAAAATATGAACAGTACAGAATTAATTCAGTAATGAAATACAGTACAGAACTAAAAATTTTAAAAGCATCAAACAAAATATTTCAATAAATATATCCCTTAATTCTGAAACAAAAATGTACAGTAGCTCTTTTAGTACAGTACACATTAAGGTCAACAGGGCATAAATTAAATCAAGACCCTACTCTGTAGAGTACAGTTTACCAGTTTATGGCAGTACAGTTTGAATGAGGGGATTAGCCCACCCGAGCACAGGTCACTGACCCACATCAGGGCCTGGGAGGCAAAGATATAATAATGATGATAATAATAATAATAATAATAATAATAATAATAATAATAATAATATTAATAATAATAATAATAATAATTCATAGTAAATAAAATTTATAATAAAATATAAAAATTTGAAAATAAAATAATAAATTAATAATGATAATAACAACACTGTAAAAATAATAATAAAGAAATACAAAAATGAAAAGATCAAAAGTGAGAAACAATATACAGTATGTACAGTATGTTGTGTTGTCAATAGTAAGAGAAACAACTGAGACCCTGCAATTGTGTGTAAATGAGGCAGAAAGTCAGATAAGCAGCCTGGGACTTGGTCACAATTTTTGTGATGCCATGTGGCAGCAGGGTCTACCATTAGACAACACATTATGTATCTTCCCAGGCGGTAGTACCTCCCTGTTTTGCGAGTTTCTTTTTTATCTATTAACGATTCTTGTGTATTAGCGATTTTTGCGTATTAACGATTCTTGTGTATTAGCGATTCTTGTGTACAGTATTAACGATTCTTGTGTACTAGCGATTCTTGCGCACTAGCAGTTCTTGTGTACTAGCCCTTCTTGTATACTAGCGATTATTGTGTATTAACGATTCTTGTGTATTAACAATTCTTGTGTATTAACGATAAGTGAAGTGCGTAATGTAAATGTCGGGAGCGGTTCTGGTGGTGATGATGGCCATAGAGAAGGTCAACAAGGAAAGCCCCAAGCCAAGCGTGAATACCGTAAAGGGGTAAAGAAAAGGAAATACAACCTTGAAATGAAACGAGTGATGCTTGAAATGATCAAAAGTGGTGCTCTTATCTTAGGAAGAACAAGGAAGCCTTAACTGCTTCTGTGAATGTATTCTCAAGATTTTCTCATAACAGGACATTCTCCGATACTCCACAACAAAACCTACTGCTTGTTTTCACAGAACATTACCTTCACAAGTGGGTGGAAAGAAGAAACTGTAAGAAAGGCGATCTGTCTGGGCCACAGATAAGGCATCAAGCACGTGTTTATTATGCTGCAGTTGCACAGAAGAAATACATTAACTCCACCACCGTTCAGTGCTTCTGTTGGTTGATTGGCTGCTTTTAAAAAGTGTTATGAAGTCAAGTTTGCCCACTACCATGGGGAGAGTGCATCAGCTGATGTAGCAGCAGAAAAATATCTACTTGTCTATCAAGATCTTGTGAAAGAGGGTGGTTATTGCCTAAACCAGATCTTCAATTGTGACGAAACTGGTATTTTCTGGACGCACTCACCTAAGACCACTTTCATTGCCAAGGATAAAAACCGACAAGGGGTGTAAAGACTTCAAAGGACAGGATTACAGTTTTATTCACAGCTAATACAAGTGGAGATTTCTTGATGAAACCCCTTGTTGTTAACCATGCTGCCCATCCTAGAGCCTACCATCATGCCAATCTGTTGCAGCTCAATGTTTATTGGACGTCTAATAAGAAACTTTTATGCACTGATTGGTTTGACAAGCATTTTGTTCCTGATGCCCAACAGTACTGCCGGAGGAAGAACATTGACTTCAAAGTGATCCTGGTGATGTATAATGTTCTACTATCAGTCACTCTATAAAGACTTTCGTCAACAGGCAGATTCATTAGACGAGTTACAACAAATTGAGGCAGAACTCTCTCACAGTGACCAGGCTCTATCAGCTAACCAGGAACAGGAGGAGAAGATAATAGACGACCCAACTCCTACCACCTCACCACCCCGCAACTGTGAAGTGTTATCAGTTTGTGAATTTGGGAAGAAATATAATATTAAAAATGCAGTGGACAGAATTGTTGAGGTATGGCGTAAGATTAATGTTGCAACAGTGCTACACGCATGGAAGCCTTTGTTCGGTAACTCCTAGGTAAGTGGGGCAGAGCAGACCAAGGAAAGTGGGGAGAGACAGTCTGTTTCCAACACTAATAGACACAGTGGAGGCAGCACGGTCAGTCCCAGCTCCAGGATTTTCGGTTGTTCAGGTTGAAAATTGGCAAGAAATCGTTGGTCAACATCAGCAGCAACCGACAATTGAGGAAATGTTGGAGGAGGATAAAGAACAAGAAGAACATCAAGCAACACGAGGATGACGTTAAGCCTGGTGAACCTACAACACGCCAGCTGACTGAGGTGCTCACAACCATCGCACGTCTCAGTGAGCAGCTTGATGATTATGATACCAGGCCTCATGCTCAGAACTGTATCTGCCCTGTCATTGATAAGGTTATGGAGGAATGTAAAGCCACGTACATGTCCTGTGTTAATGCTCGTCAGCAGGCCCTTATTACTCGCTACCCGCGCAAGGCTCAGCCTGTTATTAATGCCTTGGCAAACATCACTTTAAGAGATGATGATGGCACCACCGATGATGATATTGAAGTGTCGGGTAACTTACTGGTGGAAGAGCTATCTCAAGACCTTGAGAGATTTGATGCTGCTGTTAGAGGTGTAGATGAGGAAGCAGTAACCAGCCCTTCCTGCTTCGGAACCCATCAAGCAGCACCGTCAAGGATTTCACCGATTCCATCAAGGTAAGTTATTCTACAGTATGAGTGTATATAAATATTGTTACCAACAATATGTACAAAATAATATGTATGAATACATTACAGTAATGCCATTGTCTTGGTGGGTTGTAGGTCATTATGGCGGGGTTTGGGTGACACCGCGGAACTGATTAGGCTTATTTACATGTATTTCAACGTCACTCATTTTGCGATTTTAAATTTCGCGATGCTAAAACCTGTACCAATTAGTCGCGAAACTTGAGATCCTACTGTATTCAATTATCATAAGTATGGAGACAACCAATTAGCAACTTATTAAATAATAAAAAATTCTCCTTCCTTATATGACACTTGAAGTACAGTAGGTATATGAGAGCTAGCTCTGGATTACAATTCTGTTAATTAGATTTTTTCATATTTTAGTTTTAATTCACTCTTATTCTCCTTGCTGTCTATATAATTTTGCTTACATTCTTCATCTACATAACAGAGAAGGCAAGAAGTAGATGTTTCTAAAATTGTAGAAGGGTCCCCACTTATCACTGTACATACTGTACAGTATATACATTCCATAAAAGTGTGACTTTAAGTGAACACTAAATCAATAG